AGGCAAGAGAGTATGGTGGAAGGACACAAAAACTAATAAATGGGGAATTAAGCACTGTAATAACATGGCATAGGGGTTTTGCTTGTGTCCCCCCAGGAAAGGACCAACAAACTGTTTGGGTTCCCTCCCGTCAGCTGAAATTGTACCATGACTCCAGTCTTGATGAACCATCAGAAACAAAAGGCGAACAGCCTCCGGAAATCGAAACTCAAGGCTCATCACCTGACTAATAAAATTTGTAATCTTAACTTCACATCACAGCCTCGCCCTACAACTCCCAATACAAAAAATTCCACCTCACTGACATGGGGTCAGATAAAAGTAATGTTCGAAGAGGCTGAGAGACACCTACAGGACAAAGGGATTCCAAAAACTACAGGTAATATTATCTTGGCTGCCTTTCTGGTAGTTACTGTAGTGTTAAGTATACCTGGGGCTACAGCAACTCACAATTACACCTACTGGGCATATGTCCTGTTTCCCCCTCTTATTCGATCTGTTTCATGGATGGATTCCTCAGTGGAGGTTTGTACTAATGACAGTGCATTCATGCTGGTCCCTAATGATGACAGATTTCAGGCTCAACCAGATGAAGAATGAATGCCTTTTAATGTGTCCATTGGATATAGATTTCCACCATTGTGCATAGGAATTGCACCTGGCTGTTTGGCATTCTCTAATCAAAATTGAATGTGGACTGTACCGGCCTCCAGTAATGATTCTTATCAGGTGCATAATGTTTTGAGTAGTAATTCTTTTCAGGATCTGACCATTAAAATAAATTCATTTGAGGAATGGAGAATTCCTGTCATAGTAAAACACAATAAAACACAAGGATTGTCAGACTCTTTAAAAGACACTATAAAGGCAGCTTTAGTAATTGGAAACATCCTATGGAGTGACTGCAACGCCCCAACACCGGCAGTGCCACGGAGTCCTGTCACAGGGACTGTCATTGACTGGGCCCCAAAAGGGTATATTGGCGAGATTGCTCTGACCAAAATACCCAAAGTTCAGAGTTTAACTACTTAATCGATTATGAAGAAGAAGGCTGGCAGTCCTAAAAAAAAGAAGAAATGGGT